AGCAAAAAATAGCCCGTGACTCTACAGTAAAAGCAAAAAGTAAGAGACAGCCTGTGAAAAAGTAAACTTTGGTATCCGACAAAAGGAATCACGAGGAAATGTAATGCAAATACAAATGTAAATGCATATGAAAATGCCAAATGAAAATTCAAATGTAAATTCCAAGCCCATCTATATAAAGGTTTGAGAATTAGTTTAGAGATAAAACTTTAAAAATTTGGAAGAGAGTTCCTCCTCTCCAAAAGATTGTTCTCGCAAAAATTCAAATATTCAAATATCTTTGTATTTCCCAATTTTTATGTCAATAAATATTTTCTTTCGAATATCTCCTAGTGCATCCTCAGAAGGAATTTTTGATTTAATAAATCACTTTGAAATTTTGAAATGCACAAAACAATTGATAAAATTTCTTTTTTAATGGTACTATAATTTTGTTAAGCAGGAGTCCAATGCTTAGAGGTAAATTAGACAATTTGTTCTTTATGATTTTTTACTTGTTTGAGGATCCCACCATATCCTAGTTCTTAAGCATCAATTTCTACTATTTTTGGTGCATCAGGGTTTGCTAGGTATAAGCATGGGAGTTCATTTATATATTTTGTTATTTGTTTGACTACCTTAGTATATCTGGTTGTCCAAGGGGTAAGACTTTTTTTAAGTCTTTGATGTAAAGGTTTACAGATTTTACTAAGTCTCGAATAAAAGTCAATAATATAATGTCAATTTTGACTTGTGAGTTTGTCTTGTTAGAGTCTTTGTTGCTATTCCTGAATTTTGGCTTTTTATAATGTCAATTCTATCTTGTATTTCTTTTAGGAATTGATTTTGCTGCTCTTGGTGATATTTTTTAGGGACTTCAAAAGGTGTAAATACAGGTTTTGAAGTTTTTGGTTTTTGTGGATTTGTAGAGGACTTTTGAACAGTTTAGGGTTAGTTTTGTACTAAGGTTTTTATGTTTTCCAACTGTTTTAATATAATATGTAAATTTAGATTTGTATAGTTATTTTGTTCAACTATCATTTTTATAACTTTTTAGGAAATAGCTTCTCCTAAATTTGAAGATCTCATCTTTAAAGGAGTTGCTCTTATCCCTACGTTTTTGTGTGAATATTGAATTTTTGCCAAAGGGGGATGTTGAGTTTCAATTTTACCTTTATTTGTTTGCCATTTATTGATGGTTTTCATAGTGTTTACCATTTGCGGTTCATAATGGTTTTCTAACCATTCAAAGAATTCTATCATAATTTTATATTTGTTCATGAAATTGTAATATCCTAGTAATGTTTCATCTTTCTGTTGGTCATATTTCTTAAAATAAATTTTTTTTGTTTATTTTCTTTATAGTAGAAATGTGTCCTACACCATTTTTTATCGATTGTAAATTCTTTTTCTAACACAAATATTTCTGAATCATGTTCATTATTTGTATTTAAATTTAGATTATTAGTCATTGAAGAATATGTTGGTGACATGTTGAGAGAGTTTGCAGGGATGTTTTCTTGCCTGTTGTATATAGGTTGAGGTATATTTGAGGAGTTATCTACACTCTGTAAATTTATTCTAATAAAGGAAGGTATTGAGGATACAAAGTCTATACTTCTTATTAAAGCTAAAGTTTGTTTTGTATCAAAAGATTGTCTTGAGGGTACTCTAGGTGGTTTATTGAAGACAAGTTCTACCGAACCATCACTGTATTCTATGACATGATTTATTTTAGTGTTTTGTATTGCAACAGGGTTAGTTGCTTCTTCTATTTTTCACCTATTTGGAAGTTGTACTTCATGCCTTTGAATGGTCCTGGGCATTACTGTATGGGACCTAGTTATATTTGCTTGAATCAAAATAGTTTCTCCTTTTGGGCTATGAATTAAAGTCTTAGTATTGATTATAGAATACATTGCCTTGTAATATAACATGTACACTACAGTTAGTGGTTCAAATCTAGGCATCATTTTGTAGTTATGAGTTTGAATTTGGAGCGTAAGTGAATTTAGAATATTTCTATCTTTTATTGAAATCATAAAATTTGAAAAGTAGTTGAAATGTATTGACCGTCTACAGAGGTTTGTTTCTACAGTTCCTAATAGAGAATCATTAAATTGAAGATATCTTTTATCTCTGAGGACTATGACGATCGAGGTGTCTAACCCTTCATTGGTAAGAGGTTTAGCTCATACTTGTACTAATCCAAAGTGTATGTAATTATATTTTTAATTCTTAAGTTTTTGAACTATATTTGATCCAGAAGTTGGATGTTTTCATATTGATTTGCATTGGTATTTCTTTTTCTTTCATTATAATTAAATACCCACAAAAGGAATTTTAATGCAAGGTATGAAATGTTGAAGATTTGTAAATTTAATTTTGGAGAACTCTTGAAATTTTCTAATTATCTATCTTATGTATAATGTTTTCATAATGAATATTTTCCTCATTGACGGTTTGGTTTTGATTAGAGTTTGAACTAAAATAAGTAATTCTTCAAAATAGAAGCATTTTGTTTTACTATTTTCTTTTCCTACATAGGGAGTTTCTACTATTTCAGAAGTAGAGTGCTTACTCTGCTTACATGAGAAACAATATCTTAATGCATCACCGTCGACTCAATAAACTACTTTTTTAAAGACTCAATAGGAATTAACATAGTACCATTCAAACAATTAAAACCAAAATTTGAAAAAAAAATAAAAATACTAAAATACTTGAATTTAAAAGAAAATACCTTTGCTCTAGTCCTTAGCTTTGATACCAATGACGTAGGATCGGCACTGAGAGATATTCAAAAGAAAATATTTATTGATATAGAAATTGAAAAATACAAAAATATTTGAATATTTAAATTTTACGAGAACAATCTTTTGGAGAGGAGGAACTCTCTTCTAGATTTTTCAAAGTTCTCCTTCGAAATTGATTCTCAAACTCTTATATAGATGGGCTTGAAATTTACATTTGAATTTTCATTTGGCATTTACATATGCATTTATATTTGTATTTGCATTACATTTCCTCATGATTTCTTTTGTCGGAGACTAGAGTTTACTTTTTCATAAGTTATTTTCTATTTTTTGCTTTTACTGTAGAGTCACAAGTTGTCTTGTGCATTTTCTTTTATCGATGCTTTTGGTGATTGAGCCTCATTTCCCTTTTGCATTTCCACAGCTGGCATCTTTTTGCTTTTTTGAAGCTTTTGTAGGGTCACGGGTTGTTTGCTAGTGCTTTCTGTGGTTTGGGCATCTTTTGCCCTTTTGTTTTTTGTTTTCTAGCATCTGTCTTGATTTTTTCTTTTATTTTCTTCTCCTTGGAGGCTTGTAGTCTTCATCTTGAGTGAAGTTTGTTGTTTCTCTTAACGAAGTCATATCCTCTGGTTCTTGGTTTGGTCCTTCTTCTTTAGAGTCAAGAGAACTAAGCATTTATATCATAATCTTTTTATATTCTATCTTAGTTTTTGCTTGGGCCAGTAAAGCATTTGCATTGGATTTGGCTTCCAAGAGCCTTGCATTTTCTTGCAATATTTGGACACTTTTGTAGAGCTTTGAATTTTTCCTGAAGTATGTTTGAAGGAACAGTTGATCATATTTCTTTTCATCAAACTTCTCTCACCATTTAGTCTTGAATTTTCGAATGACCGATGGTGCTCCAGTTTAAGGATCAGTGTCATAAGTATATTCCTAAGACATGATCTAAGAACTAGTTTATTTTGAGAAAATGTATTGAAACATGTAATTGGTGCTGATCCAGTTCAGATTAAAAATGTTGGTAAAATTTTTCATATAAATCATCAAATTTTGGGAATAAGATTTCTTTTAGTGAACCAAACTAATTCCACTAGTGTGAAAATCATATCAAAAATTTGTAGTGGTTTCCATATTTGAAAACCGTTAACTAAGAATGCCTAGTATGTTTGTTATTGAAAAGAAAAGTATTGAACTAGGCCTGTTAGTAATCTCAATAATTAAAAACAAGGCAATGATCTATTGTCGTTGTAAAACTGCTTGAAAATTTTTTAAATTGGTTTAAATTTTCTCTCTAGTCAATGGGTCGTAATACTTTCAAAATTTGGACTGTGAAGAGAGTGATCAAACTAAGATTACTTTTATCTGTATAATGTTTAATGAAAATAAATCTTGTTTGAATCAAAATATTTTGAAAATATTGTTGAGGTTTTTTCAAACCCTATGATTTAAAATGCCATTCTTGAAAAACTTTTCTTATAGCAATATTAAGAGATTTTTTATAAAATCCTTCTTTTATCAATAAAACATTTTGAAAGGATTTTTTCTTGTAATATTGAGTTTGGCTTTTTTGAGAGGATGGTTGTGTTGGGGAAAGTGTTTGCGTCATGGAAAAGATGGTTTGAAGGTTTTTTTGGTTTGTGAAGGGTAATTTCCTTTCCTTTGGAAGCTTCAAGTGTAGAAAAGGCAATTTGTTTAATTAGGGTGTCTTTTTCGGATTGAAAGGCTAGTGCTAAGGCTACATCTAGTGATTGGAAAAAGGACTTTATCCCTTTCTTGACCTGTGAATCTAACTCATTGGGGTCTTGGGCATCTTGATTAAATTTTGGGAGGAGTTTTGTGCTTCCTCTTCTTGGGTACATATCTCATACCATGATTTGATTGGCTTTTGGTTAAAGATATTTGGAGGGTCTTTTCTCTTTTGCTCTTTTTCTTTTTCTTTCTTCTTTTGCTCTCTTAATTTGGGGAGCATGGTTTTGCCTGTTAAAATTCTCGGTTAAGAAAGTCTGACAAAGAGTTTGACTCTCCTTTGATATATTCTATCTCAACATCAAATATACTTAAAATTGCTTACCATCTGGCAAAAATTTGTTTAGATGCAATGTTTTGAACATCTTTTTACAAAATTTCTTTTATAGATTTACAATCATATGATAGAATTTTTAATGAATGTATAATAATAATAGTGATGATGATGATGATGACATTAATAAACACATGTGAAGGTTTACAATACACAGAGTTAAAAAATCATGTGCAAAACCAATATAAACATTTGAATCCAAAATTCTCAAAATTAATAGATCGATGCCATGGTTTTAATCAAGGCACATATAGTAATAATGTCATACTTAATAAGAAATAAATAATAAAAGAAAACAAATTGATTAGGGTACCCTTGGGTAGGTCTAAGAAATCGTGTCTAAGAAATCGTGTGAGTCTCCACGCATATACCATATATCAATGCCTACTCATGGGACTCCCCATGCTACCAAATATAAAGTCGAGGCTTCTGTCCCCTTAATGCCTATTGGTAGGATTCCCTCGTGCCACCAAGTATAAAATTGGGGCTTTCGTCCCCTTAATACTTACTCGTGGGACTCCCACGCCACCAAGTATAAAGTCGAGGCTTCTTTCCTCCTAGTGCCATCTCATGGGACTCCCCATGCCACCAAGTATAAAGTCGAGGCTTCTGTCCTCCCAGTGCCTACTCGTAGGACTCACCATGCCACCAGATATAAAGTTGAGGCTTTTGTCCTCCTAGTACCTACTCGTGGGACTCCCCACGCCACCAAGCATAAAGTTGTGTCTTCCATCCCCCTTACTAGTCCAATAACAAATCGATGTCTAGCTAGTACTTTGTGCATAAAGACCACACAATTTGGTATGGCAACAAAACCTATACCCGTAAGGCTTACCCATAAATAATTTGGTATCGAATGCTCATATAAACAATGTGTTACATTATTCAATTTATGGAATCAATGAGCAGTACATACCAAGTACAATAACAAAATCAATGAGCGTGGCATGATTTTATATTTCATCCAAACATCATAATTTTACCAAATGGGCAATTTAATTATAAGCGGCCACCGTTATGGCCTATTGAATGCAAGTATTGCATAGATTCAAATAGTTTTTAAGACCTTCAAAACAGAATGGAAATTTAATATTTTCAAGGGCTTGTTTCCCATAGTTATAAACAGCTCATAGTATAGTAATGCTTGCGAATTAATGAACACAATAAGGTAAAAAAAATAGTCCTAATCATCTAGCAACTCATGCTTCCGAATGGCAATTCAATAGATAAAATATAATTCGTAGCATTCTAATGTCAATGCCAAACAGTGAGCATATTTGTAGTTATGCGCTTATTGTAGCAAAATCCATAGTATATTTTAAAAGGAATTGCCCACTCACCTCCTTTGGTGGAATTCTCACCAATATTTCTATTTACGCTAATGAAATGTGTTGCCTAGGAAATTTCCAACGGCTGTATATCACCACCACCTGAATCTTCTTTACTTTTTTCCTAGCAATTTAAGTTTTAGCACAATCACCCCTTAGCGATCAATATCACACAAACTCTTAGTATAATTTCAATTATACCATTATCTATACATTCTGCTAGCAAGCACATTTGCATTAAATTTCAAATTTCAACCAATTTATCCTCACCTTTGCAAACTCAACCATAAATTTCTTAACGTTAGGCCGCAGGTTTGACAAATTTCCCGCAAGTCCTCCTTCAAATCTCCTTGTAATAAATCATACTAAGTCAATATCACAAGTTCACCCTCGTAGGCACGTGCTTCACTAGTAAACCATACTTCGATAAGATAAGGACCAACATCCAACCTCATTGGACCTTACCCTGTTGGTGGTCTAACTTCACCAATGCACAACCTCAATACTTTTCCAATCTCGTAGTACCAAATTTGTCACAACAAATTCACATGGTATTAATTCTTTAAACTTAAAATAATTTTTAATTTTTTAAAAAGCTTAAATGAAGAGTTCCTTACCCAAACATTTGATTTCCAGCCTTAAACTTCAATTTGGGAAGCCTTAATCCCTTCAAAAATGAGTTGGTAGCCTCGGGTTTCCTAGAGCCAAGGGTCTTTCCATTGTTTCTCACCTTTAAACTTAATCGCTCATGAGATATCCTTTTGAAAATCACCATGAAAGACTCTTAGATTGCTTGGCAAATGCAAATGATGAGGAGCTTTGCGGGGGTTAAAGATGGGCGCAAGGATTTCCTTGTAATGTGAAAATAATAGAAAAACTTGGAAGGTTTTAAGAGAGTAATGAAGGCCGAGAGTTTTTTGATTCTAAGAAGGGGAGAAATTTTCCAATTCTCTCGCAACCCCTTCCCCTTGACTTCTCTTTATTTAATTCCTCTCATCTTTATGTTATCACAAGGAAATCCTTCCTTTATTAGATATGGCAGATTGCTTTATTTCTCATTGGGCAAGACTTGGTTATCTTTTATTCCACTTTTCATCTTATCTAAACGAAATCCTTAGGTGGAATTCCATTTGCTCATGCCAAAAGCCACCTGTAAGCTATTAGAAATGCATGGCCGGCCACCATTTCCACCCATGTCTTTTCAAGCAATTGCCTTTGCTTCATTTCTTGTCTCCCATATTCCTTTCTTTTGTAAGCTTTTGCTCCATGTAGCCGATCACCCATGACACTTACATGAAAATTGTTCCTTAATGGCAGGTCCCACTTGCTTTTACATGGCCATTAGAATTTCATTCTTACCACCATGATTTGGCATTTCTTGCAAACAACTCACATGCATGGTCGGTTATTCTATGCAATTCCATTCCTATGCACAATCAATTCCCATGTGCCACCCATTTATTGACCTTATATTTCTTCATTGTTTCTTTCTCTTCTTGCGTGGCTATTTGCCATGCTACATATGCTTTTGAAACTTTTATGCATTTTTCATTTACACCTTAAATCAAGGATGTTTTAAATGCACATAAGTCCTCCTACTTTTCTTTATTTACCGTTTGACTCTCCCATCTTTTTATCCTTCACAATTTAATATCTTAAACTTTTCATTAATTTCAATTTAGTCCTCTATTTTTTTCTAATTACGATTTTAGCCCTTGACTTTTAGTATTTACAATTTTCCCTCACAACATTTCATTTCTTTTAAATTAAGTCCTTCTACCATTCTCTTGACTCCATTTATTTTGCATTATCTTTCCTTTACTTATGTATAACAAAAATATCCATTTTGCATACTACGAATATATCACAATAATATTTAAATATATATATATACACATACATATTTTTATATTTTATTTTTATAATTACACGTGAACCCCACCAATACTCTATTTTCTTAAAATTTCCCTACTCTCCCCCATTTTAGCCAAACATAGCTCCTCAAAATCAACTTTTAATGTGACATCATCATATTAACTCGTCGTCAATAAAATATTATTATTTTATTATTTATTTTTTATTATTAAATATTATTTTATTTTTTATTTCACCTCATATCATCCATAACCACAATTCATCTTTAATTGATAATTAAAATTTTATATTTAAATATCGAATATCGTATGGTAAGATACAGTAAAAAATTTTAAAACAATTATAAATAACGTTTATATATGTCAAATAAAAAATTAAAAATGTTATAAGTTTTAATAAAAATAAAGAATATAAAATATAAATTGAAAAGATGGTTATATATTTTTTAATTTAAGCTCTCAATATATCCCTTAATAATTTTATTTTAAAATAAAATATGCATCTTTCATATTAATTTATTAATTACAAATAAAAAAAAAACCTATCATCTTCAAGTTAAAAGGGAATTTGATTTTGTTTTGTATTTTTTTTTGTTTAAAATCCAAATCTTAAAAATTGAAACTCATAAAAAATAGATTTTCATGTTTCAACTCAAAAAACTAAAAAAATAAATTTTCAATAATTTATTAAAATTAAATTTATAAAAAGTGTATAAATTATATTGTAAGAAATGTATCACATACCATACAATACGTTTTCGATACTTGATAAAATATCATATAATTATTGATACGTATCGTTTTCAACTGGTATCATATATTATAATAATACGATATATATCACATATCATGCAATATTGATAACTATAATAAAATTTATTACACAACTAGTGAAAATACCATTTCTTTATTTCTTTCATTTAATCATCTTTTAACATCAAACCATTACAAACTCCAATGGTACTAAACCACCAATCTCAAAGCACTAATTGAAATTGTTTCAGTATTTATATCATTCTTTGAAGCAAAAAGTGGGAAATAAAGAAGGAAATGTGTGTTAAGTTCAAAAGGAAAAGTGTACATAAAGAATTAAAAGTTAAAACAATTGATTTTCCATTTATAAAAGATTGTCTTGCTTGGATAGTTGGGTATGCAACACGGTTGAAATGATATTGAGTTTTAATGAATCATTAATTTAAATATTTTACTTATTATTATTTATTTTTAATCTTATAGCAAATATTTCAAAGCTAAAAAGTAAATAATAAAAAAGATAAATCATCTACAAAACATTACTCATTTTTGAGGAAACATTTCATTGGAAATTTTTTTCCCGACAGATTCAAACAAAAATTTCCATTGAAAAAATTTAGTCAATAACGCTTTCTTCCAAAAATGTAAAATTTTGTTAAAAATTTTTAAAGTATTACTGATGGAATATTTTGTCAAAAATAATATTTAATTTCGTCGAAAGTGAATAAAATATTTCCATAAAAAATTTGAGTTAAATATGTTGAAAGTCTATCCAAAATGCATCCAAAATTCCATTAGAATTTATTTAATTTTGTTGAAAATAGCTCATTTTTTGTCATAAAATTCTTATAAATCCATCATAAAGGAATATTTTGGATTAAGATAATGATTGAATTTTAAAAATAATATATTGACATAAATTGAAATTAAATTAACTTTTATTTTAGAATAATTATTATTTTACATTTGGTCAAAAATAAAATCAACAATGAGAGTGAAATTGAAATTTAATTAATGACATTGACATGGTATGTTTACATGTCATAGTAGATGATGATATAATCATAATGATATGACTATATCGTAGTTTCAATCTTGACATTAGATATAATGACTTATTTAATTTAAAATAAAAAATATTAAAATTTAATTAAAAGTAATAAAAAATTAAAAATGTATTTAAATTTTTTAAAATAATTAAAAGGGCTTTTAAAACATTATTCCTTAACTTAGCTTACACCATAAAATGGCAAGCCTCATAACTTTTATTCTTGACTTCATACTTACCTATGCAAGATCTTCATTAATCATACACCATACCATGACTCTGCCTCTGTCCCTTTGAATAGACATAAAATATGATGTAAGAGTATTCGAGCATATAGCTTATTAATTAGTATATCATCCCTCTGTTTCAAGAACAGAGTTTTTTA